GTAACAGCTATCTTCAAAGAATCAATAATACTTACATAATGTAGGTTGAGGTTAAACATATTGCTTATTATGTTTCCAGAGTTTTAAAAAATCCAGTGGGATTTCTAAATGTACAAACTGTGTTTTCTATAAACTCAATTCTCAATTTAACTTTTAAAACTTCCTAGTCATTTGAAAGTATGAATTCTTAGCACAGTAAATATAATTTTCCAAAGACAAAATGCTGCCAGTAAATAAGCCAGCAAAGTATATTCAGTGCAATTGGAATAATATATAATTTGAATAAAAATAATCAAAATGACACTAATTCTACAAAATGTTAGTAACTACAAAAATGTATAAAATTTGAGTATGATTGTTTAATATTGAAAATTTAGAAATTAGGAAATATAAATCGATAAATTGAGACTTCTATAAATTTCTGTTGAAATACTTCTGATGATTGTGATCATTAGACATCATGGCAACGATTTGCTTTTATGTCCCACAACATCAGAATCTAATGTCTAAGAATATTTTCATTTCTTATCTACAGCAATACTTATGACACAACTTATATATTGAAAAAAGACATTATTAGAGTTGTTTTCAGCTGACAAACACAATAGTAGACAAGTGACAGTATGAAAAATGTGTTAAAGATACAATTTTATAAGTTAATTGGTGGGAAGGCATGAAAAAATTGATTGAAGAAAATGGATATTAGTAAATAACCAGGTGAAATGTTTAGCAATCCCAGAGAGCTGAGACTAGCAAAAGAAAGAGAGGGAACCATGGCATTGGACTTGAGTCATGACTCATAGAAATCAGGCTGCAAAGAAGTAATGGGAAGGAATCAAGTTAAATTCTTAACCTTACCCTACTGCAAGTTCTAACATTAGCTTAGGTCATTGTGACTGCTACATCTCTGGATATACAGGGTTATGGAGGTGGTCAATGGCTTCCAGATATGCAGAGAAAGTTTTAGGCAATTTGTTCATCAGATTTGTGGAAACAAAATATTCACAAGTGTACTGGGGAAAAAAATTAGGAAATGATTCTTCTTAAGAAGCGCCTTCAGGTCCCTTATATCTTTTCTACCGACGGAACACGAGCAACAGCTAGGAGGACTACCCAGTGACATTGGCTTGGCTGCAAATCGGAGACTGTATGGGACAGAGTAGCACCCCTCGTAGGACTCCACTGACCTACCAGGCTTCTTGAGAAGAGGGCTACTCCTAATTAATGCGAGAGTTATCTGACTACCCAAAGTATTTCCCCGGAAAGCAGTTCTCTGGGAATGAGAGCAATGGTTAGACCTATTTTAATAAATGTAAAACTAGAAAAAGCTAATTTATCTTATTGTGAAGGCCAGATTTCTGCATGATCTGCTCCTTAAGTCTAACTAAGTCTCTGTTCTGATGTCTTTTTATCAGTACATACACTCTGATCATCCTAGAAAAAATGGAAGAAATACTCTCAGCCCTGCTGAAGGGGCAGTGAATGATTTAATGTGGATTGGATCTTCTACCAAAGTCTCTTATTCCCACCAAATGACCTTTCCCTGCATGAGTTTGGTAGGAAAGTGGGGAAGATACTCATAGGATTCGCCGTCTGTGAGTAATTGTGAACAGAATTCCTTGGAAGGCCAACCTGTTGTGTATAAAACGAGCCCTCTGAGAAGCAGAAGGAGGCATCTCGTTACCAGCAAGAGGCAACACACCAGTGACTCTTTCACCTTGTTCTGTAGGGTGGCCCTGAGTCAGAATCCACTCAATGGCAGTGAGGGATGAGATTGCAAAGAAAGACCCTGGTCTCCTCAATAATTTTTAAGAGCATAAATGAGTCCTAAACAAAAATTTTGGGAATTGTTGATATACAATAGTGACTGGACTCCATAAACGTTAACATTTCAAATAATGGCCTTCTTCAAACACTTGATCCCTCTGAACTGGTCATCTTTCTTGCTTTCCATGACAGTTGTAACAACAGGGAAGTGCTAGCCAGCACGGAGCTTCTCATGGACTATGTTAGGAGCTCATGTAATAGAAGAAGGTTATGAGGATATCTTTAGAATATAGAATAGTAAGAATTAAAAAGCAAAAACCCTCCTTATGATAACAAACAAATAAACATACTATCTTTTGTTACATTATGTTGCCTCCTGACATAAGAGTTTAGTCATAAAAGTGATGTTTGGTGTAGAATATTAGTTGATTGATTTTTCTGATTATCAAAGAAAAAGTGCTCAGATTCATCCTGAGACATGTTTTGCTATTTCTAGTTTTCAGAGCCATACAGTCACTGCTGTCTATTGAATTCAATTAGTTAGTAGGTATTATTAAAAATAGCTATTTCTCTTATCCTTATCCTAATAATTCTTATCCTAATAATCCTCATAGCAAATATGGCATTATAGGTAGGACACATTTAAAGAAATCATGGATCAAGCAAAGCCACTACCAAGGGTAACTGAAAATAGATTCAGTAAGTAAGATATAATGTACAAAATCATGATTATAAGCTCAACTTCAACATCAATTTGTCCCAATGATATTGTGCTATGCTTCTTTCCCCACCATTCTAAGACTGAGACTTTATTTGGAGCTGAAACTCTAGCTTGCTAAGTTCTTTCTTGGTGTTTGATGTTGATGCTATGTAACACGCTTTGTTGCCATAAAGTGGCTGTCAAAATTGAGGATTTCAAAGGAGAATGAGTGCAGAGAAAAATGCTGTTCGTAAAAAGGACTGATGCTTTTTCAAACTTCATTCTGTTGGCCAGATGGGGGAACAGGATCTCTTATATACCACCTTCTAGTAAAAAAAAGTTGATAATAAAATGCATGATGATTATATAATTCCTGCTCTAAAAACCTTATTTGCAAAACTTGGGTCTAGAAATTTTTATCCTTTGATTTATCTTGAGAACAAAAGCATCAAGTGACATAAACTCTAGTATCAAAATATGTATTGAAATATTAGTAATACTAATATTGAAAATCTTCCTGATTAATAGTGCATTTATTAAGTACCATAGACTTGAATAGAGTACTATATTAAGGTGATCAGATGTCCCGCTTTTGGCGGGACAGTCCCGATTTTTAACAATTTATCCCGCGTCCCGCGGCATTTTTAAAAAGTCCCGATTTTTGGAAAGAATGCACGACAAGCTAGGGAACGGGGGTAGAATGGGAAGGGAATATACGATTTTCGGCTGCCATGTGGCTATTTTGCCAGGATATGAGTTTTATATTATTTTTGTTAATTTTATGTTGAACTTTAATAATAACAAATAATTGTTGAGAACTGATTATAGAGAACTGCTTATCAAAGTTCGCATTGTTGATCAGTTGTTAGAATTCGACCACCATTGTTTGGACTTCATGAACAATGGCATTTTTTGGCATTGGCAACGAGGAAAACATTTTGTAACTGTCTCTCAGAGGATACACATCGTACTGTGTGCTAGTGCTAGTTAAATGAGCGATGTCAACAAAGTCAGCTATTCAGATAATTTAGGTAAGTTATTTATTTATTTATTTCATAAATACATAAATTTTCTTGAATTTAGCAGACAGTACTCATATTATTCATATTTTATAGTGGCAGCAAAATGATATAGACCAAATTTTTAATCAAGAACACGCTCCCCGCTGCCCTCCCGCAGTCAATGGTGTCCCGCTTTACCAATGTTAAAATCTGGTCACCTTATACTATATACAATTAAGAGATACTGTAGAATAATATGTACTAAACTGGAAAGTTCTGTATTATTTACTTGTAAGTAAAAAAAATCAGAAAACAGCATAGAGTTTACATGTTATGAAAATATTGAATTAATTGATGTGTGGAAATAATTTTATATATCAGTACATATAGTATTATCCCATCAGTATAAATATGCATACATGTTTACTTACAAAAAGTAGAATATAATTTTAAAAATTAAAAAGAATAAATTCATTTTAATTTAAACTTAATATTTTTACCGTAGGAAATCATATTCTCTAAAGAAAATAAATTTCAATGGAATCTGGTTATAAACACATAAATACTTAAATGTAATCTAGTAATCTAGTGGTAATACTAATAATCTAATATTTAAAAATATGTAAAATTTTCAACAAATTCAAATATAACCATTTAAGTGAATCAAGTGAGTGCAAATTAAAATAACTAGATATCATTTCCCTAAGAAAAATGATAATATCTTAGTTGTTCAAATTAATCATAATAATGTCTAATTTTATCAAGAAAAAGTGAAATATGTTTTTGAAAGGCATATAGACTCTGACACAGAAAATTCATTTTTAAGAATATATCATACAAATTAGAAGATTCATGTAATCAAGAAGGCAGACAGCTCATTTATACATACTGATAGCATAACTTAAAGGTTAAGATCATAAATATATGACTACTAATTAGAGATTGGAAACAAAATAACATAGGAAGACCATGGGGCTTAGTATGAAATAAGTTTTAATAAAACTGAAAATTGCATTGGGGGGGAAAATGCAAGCAACCTTATGCTGAGTTTTGCTTTGTTTTTTAACGATCAGCCTAGTGTGCTTCCTCATTTGTGGAGCATGAGCTGCACTCCAGGAACTGCATTGTCTTCAACCCCATCAACCCTTCAGCCCTAATCTTATTCCTTTAAGCTTTTTAAATTAACCAATGTTTAATTTGAAGTGTATGTCTTCAATCCTACAAGAACTAGGGTTGGCTTTTGTTACAGGATAAATCAAAGAGGACAGATTGGGGGGAAAGGAGTTGAAGAGTTGAAACACCACCTTCCGAAGTCTATAGAGTTAGACGGAGGGTAGGTCAAGATATGTGAAACTATATTTTGATGGTTTTGTTTAATAAAAAAAAATTATATAATTTCGTTGAAATCCTTTTTCAACAAAACATGCATACATGTTTACTTTTCTGGTGCATAACATTGGTACTTATTTTCATGCCAAAAGGATACATAATAGAAAATAAAGATAAAAGTTAAAAAAGGCTGATTTACTCACTCTTGTTGTATAGGCAGCTTCTGGGTCATCCTCTAGAACACGGGAAAGTCCGAAATCTGAAACCTTGCATACCAAATTACTGTTGATCAAGATATTCCGAGCAGCAAGGTCCCGATGAACATAACCCATATCCGACAGGTACTTCATGCCAGACGCTATCCCGCGAAGCATCCCCACTAACTGGATGACTGTAAACTGGGCGTCATGTTTCTGTGAAGTGTGTTAAAGGACAATTAATATGTGTTATTTTTAAGTACATATTTTTAGTTAAAATCCCACATACCAAATTTTGAAACAAGAACCACACACGCTTCAGTGTTAAGTACCCCAGATTAACAAAATATGTGAATGGTTGTGTAATTATGCAAACCAAAATGGCGACCGCATTACCAATTATTTCATAAAAAGAAATATGTATGTGTGTACATATATATATTGCCATTTGTTTAATTAAAACTCATCATGACTATACTGGAGAGGGTGTAAGTGCCACATCAAGTCTGTAAGGCTGTACATCTTTTAGGCTGCTATGTCTTACTCGCTGGGAGGCGCTAATGCAGTAAAACTGCCCCAATTGCCCTTGGCAGTCAAGTGCTTAAGCACTGTGCCACCAGGGTTTTCTTCAGTAGTACCTGAATGTTCTCCGGTTTCAAATCTACAAATCTCTTGCTCTTTGCGTGATACCCAAATCTCTCCTCAGAAACTGGAACCTCAAGAAAATAAAAATTATTTTGATTCTGTGGTTAGAGGAGATTTGTATTTTTAATGGATAGAATTTTTCTTCTCGCTATATGGGTTTCAGGTTCTTTAAAAATTCCTCCAAATAAAATGGATGTTGAATTTTTGATACTCTTTTATGAATAATTAAAAATTAGGGAAAATTTTTATTGTCTCTTTGTATGTCCAGTCCTATGAGCTGCATATCCTAACAGAGGAAATAGAAGGAAAGTGTGTCCTGAACTTATAAAAGCTCCAAACTAAGTTGATTAAAATAGAATTACATCATTTACAAAGTATACAGAGTTTTTCAATATCAAATGTCCTGTCGATTTAGGTCTACACACACACACACACACAAAGATTTTAGAATAATAATTTTTAAAATTACATAAAAATATGTAAATATATTGCCACCAAGATTTTCATTTGCCTACTGAATATTAAAGTATACTTTTCCTGTTCATAGAAAAAATTTGAATTTTTTCCTGTATGATTGGTATTATATCTATATCTTATCTATGTCTCTATACATATAGTGTTGGAAAAACTTATGTGGTTGTTAATAATCACTTTGGTCCATGGTAATGCCTAGCCAGGATCCCTGGTGGTGCAGTAGGACCGCTGAGAAGAAAGGTTCAAACCCATCAGCAATTCTACTGGAGAAAGATGAGGCTGTTTGCTCCTGTAAGATTGACAAAGCCTCTGGAATCTTACTTAGGGTACTAATGAGTTGGAATGGGAGAGGGAGTTCAGTGGTTGGCAGTGTCTTATATTCCATGCTTTTTAAAGCTTTATTTTGTGAATATCATATTTGTTCAAATAAAATATAGAGTAAATGAATTTTAAAAGATTAAAGTGTTTCCAAACTTCAAGATACGCTACCAAAGAACTTAGGACCATAATGAAATCACTGAGTCGAGAAAATATGTTTCCAATACCTTATTGTGAACCCACTGCCATCAACTCAATTTTGACTCCTAAAGCTTGCGGGTCGCCACGTGTTTACAGGAGCAAGTTGTCACATCTTTGTTCCTCAGGAGTTCTAGCTGGTTCAAACTGCCAAGTTTTGTATTAACAGTCAAAGGCTTAAGCACTGTGCCAGCACAGTTCGCTTTAGAATGAGAGGGCGTGCATTTACCTGTTGGACAGCAACTAGTAACACACACACAATCTGTCCTCATCCATGGTATCAATGTAGAATTGTTAATGTCTATTTTTATTTTAACTGGGATGGACTTGGATAGTATAAATATCCAGGCTGAAGATATGAGGAAGAAAGACTTTATGTCTGCTTCCACATAGAGTTTCAGTCTTGGAAACCCATAATTGGGTCACCAGGAGTGGCAAAAGGGATGATGGATGTGGAATTTTATAGCGGAAGAAGATTGCTCATATTTGTTTTAAAAGTTAACATTTGAATACCATAAGAAGAAGATATGTTTTCACAATCTCCTTTTGATTCTCTAGTTTGAGAAATTTTTAGTTTTCCTTTAAGTTTATAATGCCTAAGTGTTTGGCACAAGATTAGAAGCCATGTGTAACATATTTGGCAGTCTTCTACTCACACGTAAGAAACTATCCAAGGAGCCATTCTCCATGTATTCTGTGACAATCATAACCGGTTTGCCTGTATGGATGGTAAATTAATTAAACACACATTAGCAAATATCAACAAGTAACATAAATAGAATAATTGGATTGGATAAATACCAATTATAGAATCTTGCCCCATCTCATAATTTTATGACATTTAAATTAAAAATAAATTAACGGAAATTAGATTCTAATAAAGAAGAAACTATTAAAAATAGATTTCAGAGCCAGCCTCTATAACTCATGATATCTAAATTGGTTTATTTTGTATAATTTTGATAAACTCATAATATCCCTTTTCCCCATCTAATTTCGATGTGTGGTGGAACTTTAAAAATCAAGGGACTAGCATGTCTGAATAGTGTGACATAGACTGATATCAAAACTCTATTTCCAAATAAGATTTTCATTTCGACTTTTCCAAAGAAGGCAATTCAGTCTTTGTTTCCCCTTGTTGAAATGTCACTGTTCAAATAGCAAACACAGCAAAAAGTGGATTCTTTAACCTAGATGAAGAATTGTTTAGTGCTTGTTAACCTTGCCGCTTCAGCTGTCTCTTGTCTAGACACTCTCCCGTCTCCCACAGATGTAAGCTGTCTTCCATTCAAAAGGGTTCAGATTAACGGTTTCAGATTCAGCCTTTTCTTCTTAGCCAACTATTTCAGATTTGTATTTCAATGATTTCAACAAGAACTGGCCTGATCTGCATTCCATTACAGTAGGAGCCCTACGGGGATCGGGGTAAAGTTTTAGGTTGCTATCTACAAGTTCAGCAGTTTGAACCCACCAGCTGCTGCATGGGAAAAATATGATCAACTGATTAATATATATTTATATTCTAGCACAATTCATACAACCCCGACATCAAATTGTTTACCAAATCTGCTTTAGAAATGCTACCATACTCAAATTGTACCTGGATCTAAATAATTGTTAGGCTACGAATTATTGTTCAAAATTTGTGTTTGACAACTCCTTACCATTTTTTCTTCTTTCCTCCACCCTTCTCGCTTGAATGTGAAATCAGCTTTATTTTACTCAATTGCAAATGGACTGCTTCTAAAGAATGCTTGTGCACTCTATAACAAGATGTTTATAGACTCCGATTTAGGAAATAAAATAATGCCTTCAATAAAATATTTTGTTTTGTTTTATAACAAAGTGTCATACTTGTGATCTCTCTGAGACAGTACCCTAACTGACCTGCAAAATCAAATCCTCTGCTTTCAAGCCCGAGTGAAAAATGAGACTTCAACTGCCATTCATCTTCCAACAGATCTAAACTGTAGAGGCTTCTTTGAATGCTGGCTAGTCAGAGACAAGTAAATCACTATGTTCACAGACCTACCGCTTTTTACAGTAGAAATAAATACATCCTTTTATACATATTTAGTTGGCACTCAGAGACAATAAAATCCATCTTGGCTCGAGAAGAGCGGGAAACTAAAACTAACATTGCTGCTGACAGAAACTTTGACATATGTGGACTTAAAATATTATTAAATATTTAACCATTTCGGGCATTTCTATGGAATTTACTACGTTCAAAACACTGGTAGCCTTATTTATATACATTAAAATATTAACCATTTCCATTTCCATTTTATATATGAGAAAACTGAGACAGAGAGAGACTACTTTGCTCAGTGTCACACAGGTAATAATAATAAAGTCTAAAACTGCAATCAGAAATCTAGTTCTAGAGTTTTTAATACAATATGGTGTCACTTTGGAAATTTATATGGAGGAAAATATTCAAAATATGAAAAAAGAATTACACATAATATTCTATACCTACTAGGGACATAAATGTACAAAATAGAACAAATGATACATGAATTATTATTCAGTTAATAATTGTATGTCAACTCCATAGATTATTTGGTTTTAGAATGATGACTCTGAAAACTTTAGCAACCTAGACAATTGTTATGTGTATTTTACATAAGCAAAGAAGGGAATATGTAAGTAGATATGTTTAGTATATGGGAAATACATTTGGAGGCTTTCCATAAATATAACTATGAAATGCTGCATTATCAAAACCAAACCCAAAGGCCTTAAGCTGGTTTTGACTCATAGTGACCCTACAGAAGAGAGGAGAGGTACCCCTGAGGAAGCCCTGGTCGTGGTAGTGGGCCACGATTTGGGATACAGGGGCTCTGTGAGACACACTCTGCTTGATGGCAATGACTTTGGTTTCTGAGGCTGAAAAACTTTATGAAAGCAAACGCCTTCCTCTTTCTCCCTCAAAGTGGCTGATGGGTTCAAATCACTGACTTTTCAGTTCGGTAGCAGCGCAGTGTGTTATGCAACTTCACTCCTCTCCCTGTTTAACTGCTGCTCAGCTGGAAACATGGCAAATTCAATGAACTGTGTGCTGGAGTCACACAATTAGCTTCATGAGGGAGCAGAGCCGCAGCATGCCTCTCTCTGGTTCCAACGTCTGTACATATGACTGCCTTGTGGGTCTCCTCTTGTATTGTTGCTGTCATGTTTTAAGTATAAACTCATTATGCTACGAAAAGGAAGAGGGTCTCCTCTTGTATTGTTGCTGTCATGTTTTAAGTATAAACTCATTATGCTACGAAAAGGAAGAGAAAGTACTCATCCTCCAAGTTCAGAAGCTCTGAGTTCACTATCGATGAGTACTGTTGAGAGTCGTTGATCAAATACTCGGTCATTTCAGCCAGTGCTTTGTGCCACCAGCACTCACATATCCCAAACTCTAGATCTGAGGGGCCTTTACATAGTTTACAGGGTCCTGGTGGCATAGTGATTACACATCGTGCTATGATCCTCAAGGTCTGCAGCTAGAAATGATCAGCCTCTGCACAGGAGAAAGACGGGCTTTCTACTCCCATGAACAGTTACAGTCTCAGAAACCCCCAGGGGCAGTTCCTCCCGTTCCTACAGACTACAGTTGGCATCCACTAGATGACAGTGAGTTTGATTTGTTTTTGCTTTTTTTCAGTTATTAATTATACTTTGTTATTTTTTCCAAAGTTTTATTGGCACATAATTTACATATGATACAATTCAATTATTCACTAGTTCAATCATTCAATCATATCAAGGTACAGTCACCATCAAGGTACAATCAATCTTAGATCATTCGCCTCCCTCCCGCCTTTACCATGAGTTGTGCAATCAGTCTGCTCTGTGTTCCCTCCCTGCTACCCCCTTCATTATTTATTTCCGAAATACCCTTTCCCTCCTACAGCCCCTTCCTCCACGCCCCCGAACCCCTGTCCCAGTCTTTCCTATCTTTCCCAGTGCTTCACAGCTGGGAAACCAACAGAAAACACTTTAAAAAAAAACATACTAAGGCTAAAATCATACCAGTATAAAGACAAAAGTACAGATAATGTGTACGAAGGGAAAGATTCCCATCAACATTCAAAAGGACAGGGAGGAAATGTCTGTCGTGGAACAAGTGAGAGATACTTGTCCCCAGTCCAAATCTGGTTTTGAGTTTGAAAGTTTATGGAAAAATGAAATAAAAATAAAAATGGAATTCCACAAAATGGAATTCCACTTAAAAGCCCATTTATAACATTTGATTTGACAATATTTAGAAAGAAAAAGAAAATTCAACATTGACCTGAAAATTTTGATCTTAGAAAATGGCTTGAGAGACTAGAATAAATGAATTTATGAAATACTGAATATTCCTGTTCTACATAAACCACTATCAGTTTACCTCTTCTCACTTAATACAATCTGGGATGAATAATATCCTACAGGAATTCAATGCATACTTATAGTGTAATTGCAACGTATACTTATAATGTAGTTATAGATGTTTACCTCAAACAGTATCCTCTTAATTACACTAGCCAGTTATTGAGTTTGTTCACTCGCAGAATCTTTGCTCATACTTCTTTTTCTTCTGGCTTTCAACCTTATGACTATTTCGTTTCTCATTAGCATGTCTACTATAATTTTGGCAAGGGAAATAAAAGTAGCTGAAAAATCAAGCCGGTCAATTAAGCCAAAGCCCCATGACCATTCAGAATTCAGATCAGGTTGCATTGAGCTCTGCAATTTAAGTACTTGTAAACACACCCATTAAAATAGACCGGTTTGAAAATGTGCTTTGCATTAAGTTCAAAGATTGGGCAAACCCAAATTTACAGAGAGAGTAAACAATATTGTAGATATTCTACCTTTGAAAGCAGTGCCTTGACGTAGAGTTCCCTGAAACTTTTATTATAATATGTAGGGTTAGAGGTGAGATAATCTCTGCAGTAATATTGAGAACTTGTGCAGACATGCATTAAGAGTAGTGGGACTTGATTTATAAAATACCAGCTCATCTACTCCTTACACAACCTATTTATATTCATATTTGCATGCCTTTTCATGTATGTAAGTATGTTTGTTTTACAAGTCATACTACCAGCTTTCTCAAGACAGAGCCTATACTGATTGTCACTGATTATCACCCTCTGTCCAATATATTTGGGTATACATGCTAAACTCAATGAGTTTATTGTCCCCTGACTGGCTTTAATGGAATTTCATCAAAAGTGAATAACAAAACACTGGTAGTGGAGTTTTCCTTTTGTTTTTAAGTGATGTATGGATGGAGATAAAATAATGACTTCTACAAGTTGGGAGTTGAAAGCAAGCAAGCAAGTCGGTTGCAATCATCGCACCAACTGATACAGAAACACTGCTCAGTCAGAATTATGGTTCGTTACAGAAGAAAGGTCTTTCAACACAGAGTCTCGGCATTCCAGCTTCAGCAGAGGCTCATTCACCACAAAATGATGCATCTCTTTTTCTATGAAATGAAGAGTAGGCTAATATGATATACAGCCAGAGAGAGAAATGTTTGGTGGCAATTTCCAAGTAAATGTCTCTTTATGTTAAATTATTTTCAATCATGCAGAATATTTATTGATCCTTAAAATATTAAAATTTATTGAAATATTTATATTATTTAAATTTACAATATGTAAAATGGGAAAATGCAACTACTTTCTCTTAAAACTAAAAATTGTGTTTTATTTTCACTAAGAATTGTGA